AATTTATTACTTTCTTAACATAAGATATGCAGACGTCTTTTTTAATTTCTTACATTGACATTGCCGATGGCAGACAGGAAAAAATAGCGTTACACTGACAAAGTTCTTCTTAGTGTGGGCTGTACTTATCAAGATAGTTTTTAGTATTTCTCTTAAGATGGGATTTTTCGGGATTTTTTTCAATGTATCGTTGTGTCCCTTTTTTTATCATTCCAAGCGCACCTACTATGAATAATAGAATTCTTGTTTTCAATTTACACATTTTTTTTTCTCTTTCGATTTCCAAGTCTTTATACATTGATATTTTTTCAAATTCTTTGGTTATGTCAATTAGTAGGCAAGTTTGTTTTTTTTTCTTTTCGGTTTTTGACAATTGTGTCAGCGTATTAACTTCAATGTTCCTGTCTATGAAGATGGTGTAACACTATAGAATTGTGATGTCTTCTATTTCTGTGACCGGTGTTGAGTGATGTTCCTACCAGTGCTTGTTAACATCTTTTCCAAAGTGTTTGCCCATTGTCCAGTGTAAATATTGCCCCTCTTTATCGTGACGATTTTTATATTTATTTAGAACAAGTACAGAACATCCTGGGATTAGATGGTCTCTAGTTTCCTGATATTTGTCAAAGAAGCCGCATTTTGGATCCACACTATTGTCTCTGATATTTGCCTGAAAACTTCTAGCGAAAAGACTCTACGCTGTCTTCCGTTACAGCCTTTAATCCAAATGATCGTAACCGCCGATGAGTGTTAACTTTTCAACATCTGTTTTATTATCACGTTCTGGATATTGGCCCTGTAGGGACTCATGGTCGAGTAATGGATAGCAGCTAGGATTGGAAAATCGGAAAGCCGAGTTCAAATTCCAGTCGAATCCATTGTATTCATTTACGTGCTAATATCCTTGAGAAAGGTATGAATCCTCTTCTTTGCCCCGCCACCAGCTATGGGTAAATAGCAGAATAGACGTGTTTTACAGCCTTGGATGGTAACTGGTGTATCGCAGAAATGGCAACCTACTGCGAGAAAAAATCGGCCTCGTCAGTCATGTATTGAAAGACACATGATCGCCTAACTAGGAGGAACGGCTAAAGAATCGGAGAGCTGAGTTCAAATTCAAGTCGAATCCATTGCATTCATTTACGTGCTAATACTCTTGAGAAAGGCATGAATCCTCTTCTTCTCCCTCCCCACCCCCAGCTATGGATAAATAGGAGGACAGACCAGGTTCTATAGCCTTTGATGGCAAATGGTCTGCTGCAGAAATGGCAAGCTACTGCGGGAAAAAATCTGCCTCGACAGTCATGTATCGAAAGAAACATGATCGCCTAAGTGTGTATTACGCATGGCACATAACTGACTTAAGGGTTTGTCTTGCCAGAGATGTTTCCTCTGTTCAAGAGCTTTCTTATTCATAATTTTTACTGCAACAGTTGGTTCTTGGGTTCTGTTTTAGTTTTCTACAGAATCTACTAGATGCAAATCTCGTTTGTATTTACAACCTTCTTTCATGGTTGAATATTTTTCTTTCTGTTTTCGTGTTGTTTAAATAATTGTATCATACAGTCTTTTGTTGTTTCCATGTATGTTAGTAAGCCAACGGTTGTATTCTTGTATGACAATTCTAGCTGAATAAGACCTCTTCCACCTTCTTTACAGGGTATGTGTAGACCGTTTGCATCAACCTTTGGATAATGCATAAAACTTCTTAGAAAGAAGTTTTCTTTTCTTAGAATCCATTCATCTGATATCATTTAGAGTCCAGCACAAGATATTGAAACTATATTGAACCACTGGGATGGTAAGTCTATTAATTGCTATAATTCTGTTCTGGGAATTCAATTCAGTTCTTAATATCAGTCGCAATCTTCTATAGTCTCTTCACACTATTTCTTTCCTTTTTTTATGATGAATTCCTTCAATCTCATTTGAACCGCAGTACTTATAATTTTCTTCTTAATAGTTAATGATTTTTTTGTTAGGTTTTGGCGTTCTGTATACGAGCTATTATATTCTAAAACTTTATTATAATATGCTATTATTGTGTCGTATTACATCAGATTATATTCTTGTATACTTTAATATTTCAAAATCTTGAATACCTCACACAGTTGCAGTTTTATTTTTATTATTATTATTATTATTTTCTTTGATTTCTGGCGTTTACACATTTCTTTCCGGGTCACGCCCAGGGACCTAAGGTTAGAAATGGCGTCATGACACTTTCCACTGACAAAAAAAATAAAAAAAAAAAAAAAAAATTACATAGATAAAGCCCTTCGTAAGGTGTGGGCTGTACTTGTCAGAACAATTTTCTGTATCTCCTTGAGGCATGGACTTCCAGGAATCCGTTCAATTAGTCTACTGCGATCTTTTCCAACCAGTCCTAGGCCTCAACTACAACAGGGATTGTTGATGTTCCCATATGCCACATTTTCGAGATTTCTATTTCAAGGTCCTTGTATTTTGACAGCTTTTTGAATATCTTCAAAGATACATTGCAGTCAGCAGGGACTGCCATATCAATAAGGAGGCACCGTTTTTGTTTGTGGTCTTTAATAACAATATCTGGCCGGTTGGCCTTGATTGTTCTGTCAGTGTGTATTGTGTAATCCCATAGAATCCTATCTCCGTAACCGGGTCTGGGTGGTGTTCATACCAGTTTCTTCCAGTTTCCTTCCCGTAGAAGTTGCAGATTTTCCAGTGCAGATATTGGCCCACTCTGTCATGTCGGGTTTTATATTCAGTGGGTGCCAACATCGTGCAACCTGATACAAGATGATCAATCGTTTCTGGATATTTATCACAGAGTCTGCATTTTGAGCTGACACAATATTTTAGTATTGCCTAAGTTGACATAATTGATATTTTCTTTTCTCTCTCACAATTTTCAGAAAAAAGGTAACCTTCTTTATTATTATTATTATTATTATTATTATTATTATTATTATTTATTCTTTCACGGTTGAATATTCTTTTTTCTTTCTGTTTTCGTGTTGTTTAACTAATTGTATCATCCAGTCTTTTGTTGTTTCTATGTATGTCAGTAAGCCAACGGTTGTTTTCTTGTATGACAATTCTAGCTGAATAAGATTTCTTCCATCTTCTTTACAGGGAATCTATAGACTGTCTTCAATCAGCCTTTGGATGATGCTTGTTATGATTAGTAAGAAGCTTTCTTATCTTAGAATCCATTCGTCTGATACCATTTAGAGTTCAGTTCAAGATTTTGAAACTATGTTCATATTAATATACAAAAGATCTGCGGTCCTTATGACACTAGTACAGCCTTCAGGAGTGATTCAACATTAGGTAGATATCTCTTCTGAGTATGACCACCCATAGAGGAGAACATGACTAAGAACTGTGTATACTCCATCCCGTACAGGTGTAGTAAGAAATATAAAGGAGAAACATACCGACTCATTAAGATAAGACAGCAGAAACATTGTAAGACTGTAACAGGAGGTGAAATGGAAAAAAAACAGGTATGCCTGACTACATATGGAGAGAAAAGAGAGATCACCACCCTCTATGATATGGAGTTAAAAACAAGAACATCACTGGAAAATACGAAAACTTAAAGAATCTGCGCATATGCTTCACTACAAAAATCTCTTAAGCCGGGCAAGAATATATATATATATATATGAATGGAAACAGAGAGCTAGAGTAAAAAAATCAATAGCAGCAAATTGTAATATGAGCTCTGGTAAGAAAATGTTACGGAGACATTAGGTTTATAAGTCCCCGAAATTCATTCACTAGTGTCTCCTGTGGATAAAAGTGTTGGTTGATTAATCCAAAAAGTAAAGAAAGACGCAAAAAGGAAAAAAAAGAAAGAAAACTGTCGCAGATCCTAATCAAGAACCAACAACACTTCCCACCTAACAGACAGTTATTACAAACCTACAGCAAACTATATCAGATCTGTGTGCTTTAGTACTGTTAACGTAGCAACAGTTTTGATCAGACCATATATATATATATATATATATATATATATATATATATATATATAAAATATATTGAACAAAAAAATTAAAAAAATTAAAATCTTCAGACACACTGGGTTGTAGATTAATATTCTTTCGTTTCTTCTATTATTATTTCATTTAGATTCCTCGACTAGTTTCGACCAAAATGGCCATCATCAGGAGAAGAAGTATTTCTGCTTGCTGGTAGCAGTAAACTACAGAAATGTATCTTTTGCTGGGGAAAATGAACTTTTGTCTGTAGTTTTCATTTGTTTTTTTATTTTTTTATCTTTTTAACATGAATCTTTTAACATTCCTTGTGTTGGCCACACAGTCTCTTTTAAGTTGTTATTTGAGATAAGAGCTGGATAGATGCATGTTACTCTGAATTCTCTGGTCAGTTTGACAGTTTTATTGGACCTGGTGAGGGAATGTGTCTCTGTTTAGTGTTTGTGTGTGTGTTATTTGGTTCTTAGGGAGTGAGTGAGTATGATATGTGTAAGCGTGTGTATTGCTGTGGGTGGGTGTTATCATTTGGCTCATTAGGGAGGGAGTGAGTATGATGTGTGTAAGTGTGTATATTCGTGTATATATATATATATATATATATATATATATATATAGGTAGGTAGATAAAAGATATATATATATATATATATATTTTGAAAATATATTTCAATTGAGGTAATGACAAGTAGATAAAACAATAATTGTATATATATATATATATTGACATTTTGTTTACTTGAAAAACAATATTTTAATTGAGCATTCTGTTGAATGACAATAGCTAATTCTACAAACAACAGTTTCCACCTGAATTGATGTCTAGTCGCATGAATGGAGCACAGTACTGTCTCATGAATGATTGATAGATTGAATGTATTAGATGAAAGAATGACACTATACACAGATAAAAAGATATACATAGATAGATAGATTTAGATACTGAAGAGAATCATAGATAGATGCCGAATGAAGATAGATAGATACAGAATGAGATAGATAGATAGATAGATAGATTTAGATAGATACTGAAGAGAATGAGATAGATAGATAGATAGATAGATAGATGTCTAGTCGATAGATAGATAGATAGATAGATAGATAGATAGATAGATAGATATGGATAGAAAAAAGAATGAATAGATAAAAGAATGAGATAGATTGATAGATAGATAGACACAAGAGAATGACACACACACATAGATAGATAGATAGATAGATAGATGAATGAAAAAGAATGAGATAGATAGATGAAAGAATGACAGATATATACATAGATAAATAGATAGATAGATAGATAGATAGATAGATAAAAGAATAGATAGATAGATAGATAGATAGATACTGAAGAGAATGAGATAGATAGATAGATAGATAGATAGATAGATAGATAGAAAAAGAATGAGATAGATAAAATAGAATGAGATAGATAGATAGGATAGATAGATACTGAAGAGAATGAATAGATAGATAGATAGATAGATAGATGATAGATAGATAGAAAAAGATGATAGATAGATAGATAATGATAGATAGATAGATGAGATATAGATAGATAGATAGATAGATAGAAGATAGATAGATAGATACTGAAGAGAATGAGATAAAAAGAATGATAGATAGATAGATAGATGATAGATAGAAAAGAATGAGATAGATAAAAGAATGAGATAGATTGAATGAGATAGATAGATAGATAGATGAGATAGATGAATAGATAGATAGATAGATAGAAAAAAGATGAGATAGATAGATAGATAAATAGAAAAAAGAATGAGATAGATAAAAGATGATATAGATTGATAGATAGATAGATAGAAAAAGAGAATTAGATAGATAGATAGATAGATAGATAGATAAAATAGATGAGGCAAAAAATGAGATAGATAGATAAAAGATGAGATAGATAGATAGATAGATAGATAGATAGATAGATAGATAGATAGATAGATAGAAAAAAGAATTATAACATAGAATGAATGATAGATGATAGATAGATTCTTGATAAATTCTGCGACAGATAGATTAGATAGATAGATAGAATTATAACATAGAATAAATGTTTTGAATTATTTTCTTGATAAATTCTGTACACCGGTTTCATAAACAGCCCATTCTTCCTATCATACATAAATATTTATTTCGCCTTAAAGAAGACAGGGGTTTGAGGTTAGTAGGTTTGTTATTCGGACCTGTTCTTACACAATGGACTTTGTATTGACGGAATGATTTCGTTGACATCATTCGACAGCTGTCTGAAAAGAAGTCAAAACCATCCAGCGATTTCCCTATTGGTAATCGATGAAGGGAATTGGCTTTTAATTTCAGAAGACTTTCCTTCGGATGGGATATTTCGAACTGTTACGATTGGTTTTTGATCCCGGACTGAAATCAGTCGTTCACCTTCGACTTGTTGACCGCAAATAACGTAACCAGCTTATTATGGGACATGCATGAGTGAAGTGCTTTTTCATAGACCACCCGATCAATAATAATAATATTAATAATATTAATAACTCTTTCCAGTGATAGGACTACTCTTCTAAAGTTTTCTGAACAATATCTAATGATTGTCCTCATCTTTATTGCCATATTCATGAGGTTTCGGCCGTTATACGCTCCTACCTTCTTCAGGTGATATACATTTGAATTTCGAACCAAACTTTTTATTTAGTTCACGAGGGAATATTGTTCTAATTTCACGTACCATGCCTCCTTTTTATTTATTTATTTATTTTTTTTTTTTTTATGCCACAGTTTCAGTTAATTCAACTTAGTAACTCAACTCTCCAAGTTTCCTTGTTTAATTTCTATCCTTTTATCTAAATCTCTCAGTGCGTATAAAGCGTTTGTTGGGTGATCCCAAAAGCGTTGTTAGTTCAATACCTGACCATAGCAGAGTGAATAAAAAACTTGGTGAGTTCTGTAACTAAAGGGAATTAACTGAAAGTGATATAGACAAAAAAAAAGGTATGGCACGTGGAATTAGAAAAATCTGCTCTCGTGGATGAAAAAAAAGGGTTCGGTTCGAAATTCCAACGTATATCACCTGAAGAAGATCGGAGCGTACAACTGCCGAAATGTCGTGAATATGGCAATAAAGATCAGAACAACAGTCCGAACGATGTAAATAGTGTAAAAGGAAATACTAGGTTAATAAATTCCAGGGGAATAATAGGATGTTCCTTCTCGGACTAACTGTTTCATTTGACATGAAACAGAAAAATTATACTGAATCCATATTGCTATGACTGCTACTAGGCACGCAGTGTCATGCCTGACATTTTTTTCTCTCCAGAATCTATGTTACAGAATTATAAGCCTACCATTAGGCACGTTAGAATAATGGATAAGCGGTTCGGATTGGGGAATCGGAGAGCCGAGTTCGAATTCCAGTCAAATCCATTACATTCACTTACGTGCTAATACTATTAGGAAAAAGTATGATAGCAGGAGAGAGTGGCTTCTATAGCCTTGGATAACAGCTGGTCAACTGCAGAAAGAAATGGCAACCTAATTCGGGAAAAATCTGCCTCGTCAGTCATGTATCGAAAGATACATAATCGCCTAAGCGTGTATCACGCATGGCACATAACTGACTGGTTTGTCCTTGCTTTGAATATCGCTGCCAGATATGCTCTGTTGCACCTGCTATATACTGAGAGATTGTTGATGAAATCCAAAGAAGTATCTGCAATGTTATTGGTTCTGACCAGGCAACTCAGCTTAAGTCATTTTCAGATCACCTTAACGTATCTTCTCTGTGCCTTTTCTATAAATATTTTTACGTCAATTATTCCGTTGAACTGTAGTAACTAGACGTTATGCAGTACTGGATTGGCGGGAGAGTCTCATCATTTTCCAATTGGAATGGCCAGATGGAACCGTAAGTTCTATGCTAACAGTTCCTTCTCTCGTACTTCTTGCTTGCGGAACTCTCTTTCGGCTTCTTGATTTCCATTATCTACTGATGTGCATTCTACGTAATATAGCTTTCTAATGAATAAAACGGAAAAAAATCTCTTAGATAATATAACAAAGGAAGGTGAGAAGAAAGTACTAACTGCAAGAATCCAAAACGCAAGCTTATCAACAAAAAAGGTAATCCAAGATGTCTCCTCATTTTACAGTTGAAATGGCTAGATGTAACCGTAAGTTCTATGCTAACAGTTTCTTCTATCGCACTTCTTGCTTGTGGACCTATCTTCCGGCTTCTTGCTTCCCAGTCAAGTTTGATATTCCAAAAATTAAGTGCAATGTCACTCCAATGTCTTCTTAATTCCTCTTCTTTTCTTGTTTCTTCTCCTTGAGAAGTTTTTTCTTTCATGGTTAACCTTTTACGTCATAGTGGCTTTATTGCGTTACTTGGGTGAAATGATTAATATATATATATATATATATTAAAAAGAAGAGGGGTGCCGCAAACGTTTTTGGTTGTATGTGTGTGTGTGTGTGTGTGTGTGTGTGTGTGTGTACTGGTTCCATGTAGCTTGGGAAATATGTGTGTATATGTGTGTGTGTACTGACTACTTGTGGTGGGATAGTGTGTATGTGTGCGTATGTGTGTGTATGCGTGTATAAGTACAAATAAGTTTACGAATTCCTCGTAGTAAGGAAATATACGCACGCATATATACACGCATGCTGACAGGAACACACCAAAATAGAAACAGATCCAAGAGCACATAGAGGTCACTAAAACATTAAAAAGATTAAATGCCGATAACTACTCGCTGGACTAACCTTAATTGTTTTATGAGCCTTCACGCAGAACTCTTCATTGACAATTCTAGAAAGAAAATTCGGATTGCCAACACACAAACAGAATGTCTCATATCGAGAATATTCCACATTGAACATGAAGAAAAATTAATTATTTTTAATAATATGTAAAAATCTCCACTTTCACCTGAAGACGGTTTGCGAGACCAGACCAGAAACACGTGTCGTGAAATTATAAAAAACAAAGTATAATATTTTTCTCAATAAATCCACATTACAACCAAAAACGTTTGCAGCACCCCTCTTCTTTTTAATATACATACTTTTCTCGTTGGAACCACTACAACATATTTCTTTTATATATATATATATATATATATATATATATATATATATATATATAGTACGTGTTGTCTTTAGTTCTCGTACTGTTTTTTCGTCTTTTTTTCAAGGATCGTTTGCCCTATCATAATAAAAAGTTCGATTATATATAGATTTAAATGTCAGTGCGAAGCTGAATACATAGGACGAACATGTCTTCGTTTGGAAACAAGAATCGGACAACATGTACCCAGACACATTAAATTAAATTTAGATAATCGCATTCGTGTTTTGCAATCAGCTCACGATTCGGCGATCGGGCAACACCTATTAGAAATGAGTCATGCTCAAAACGTTTCACAATGGACTCGTTTTCAATTATATGCGTAGGCAGGTCCAAATATCATCTGTCTATTTTGTGCTTCATCTGCCTCAAATTATTTAAACCATCGCTTTCTAAACAAAAGGAGAATTTTTCACGATCGGTAAATTTATTTTTTGATATATGAGCAACTTATTTTCCTATCTTACTGCTCAGGTTGGTTCCTTATTATTAATTCATTATTTACGCATTTATTTTAATCGTAAATTTTTTTAATTTTACGTATATATATCTTCGTAAGATTTTAGACGTGTTCCAACCATACCATTTTGCGTTCTTCTCATTTTCATTGTTTGTTTAAAAATCATTTGCCAACGAAAGACCCTGATGAAGCGTTGGCCGAAAGGTACCTAGGTCCTGCAAAAAAAAAAAAAAAAAAAAAAATGGTCATACAAAAGAAATTCATTTTTTTAAATCGTTATATTTGTTTTGTGGTTATCAAAATAATAATATATATATATATATATATATATATATATATATATATATATATATATATATATAAATGCATTATTATTCACAAAAACTAATGCAAAGGTTAATGATTTTAAATAGCGAGACATCCATCTCGCAAACAATTCAAATATTACACAAAAACCTCAGATCCGTTATGAATGAATTGATCCTTGTTCATATAAATTTCTGCCGTATTAGTTGTTATTTTTACACAAGCTTTCTTCTGTTCCTGTTTTTTCTCTTAGTAATAAGGACAGACATCTTCAGGTATATAATAGATGTTGTTCATGTTTTTTTCTTAATAATAAGAATGACATCGAAAAATATAATTATATTACTGGAAATGCTATTGTCGAAATGAGATATTGGTTTTGAACGCGGCAGAAAAGCAACGCTAAAAATGATTTTGAATTTTTGTCTTTTTTAAAAAATGTTTGCGTTTTCATGTATTTGTAAATTGATAAATTTTATGGTTTAAATGAACAAATTATTTTATAAATAATTAAATTTTACTGTCGAAGTGGCATGAACAGATATTTTGTTCAAAAATTACAGTAATGTCGCCATTTATTAACCAAAATCAATTCATTCATTTTCAATAAATTTCAGATCAGATATTTTTAATGTAATATTTGAATTGTTTGCGAGATGGATGTCTCGCCATTTAAAATCATTAACCTTTGCATTAGTTTTGCATTAGTTTGAATAATTCATGTATTTGTAAATTGATTGCACGTTTATTGTAATATATATATATATATATATATATATATATATATATATATATATAGCTCGTTTCAAGTGCTATATATTTAACAAATATAGAAAGCGGCCGGATGGCATTACGATTTTTCCTTTTAAAATGGGGAAGTCGTTGATTTGGGATTCAACCTGTGCGGATACATTTTCGGTCGGTAATTTGATCAGTTCCGCGGTTGAGCCAGGATCCGTCGCCCGGGATGCAGAGATGAAAAAATCGTTAAATATTCTTCTCTTGCTGATAGATTTTTTTTTTCACTCCTGTGGTGGTGGAGACTTCAGTGGTTATTGGCCCTCGTTCGATGGCGTTCCTTCGGAGGATTGGCACGATTGCGTCTCGATTAAGGGACGAGCCTCGCGAAACGGAGTGGCTCTTGCAGCGTGTCTCATTGGTCATGGTTCGAGGTAATGCTTTCTCCATGATTGCGGCTGGCCGAGGATAGAAAAAATTGTTTATTGTTACGTTGTTCTGGAATTGTCATCAGTGGTCAACTGTCAACTGTACTTGTTTTGTTTCAATAAATTTCGTTACACACAAATAAAAAAATAACATTCAATTAAAAAAAAATAATTAACAAATTAAGTTATCCCTGAGGACACCCCT